TCAGTGTCCATTATTCCTAGCAGGAGTTGATTGTAACGCTGAAGGTTTCTCTGTTTGTTTATTTAAGCAATCTCTACACCCAGTGTGGGGCTCAAACTCACGACTCCTAGATCAAGAGTTGCATGCTCTTCCAACTGAGCCAGCCAGGAGCCCCAAGACTGAGTTTCTTAATTGCTGTAACATACTAGTGATTAAGAGAAATCTTTGGGGCACCATGTTGGGTGTAGAGATTACTTAAATAAAATTTTAAAAAACCTTAGTTTTGATGTAAAGGACAGGTTATGTTAAAGGGGATTTGAATCTGAGACATGCAGTGTAATAATTAGGCCATAATGGCTTTGTGGAAAAGTGGATTAGAGAGTCCTCATGACAGGCGAGGGAATAAAAAGGTATTGGATTCAGATGCGCTGGCTCCAACGCTGGTTCATTCATTTATTGAGCACATACTTAGGACGTGCCTGTGGAGTGCCAGGCATTGTTCTGGCTGATTCATGATTCTAGGTTACTGGGAGGCATACACACACAGCCCAAGAGTTGGAAGAAAGTCTTAGGGATGGTGTGAGTGCTAGGCTGACAAAGTGTGATGTTTGGGCTAATCTAGATTCCCGGTATTTTTACCCTTTAGAAATCGGTGTAACCACTACCATAACCCTTTCAGCTGGGAGTTTAAATAGGAAGCTTGAGAAGTTTCTTATTTTAAGTGAACTTTTATCCATGCTTTCTTTTAGTTTTTGCCATTTTATTTATTTATTGAATTTTTTTAAATTAAAAAATTTTATTTTTGAGAGAGCGTGCGCATGGGCTCAAGCATGAGCAGGGTGGGGGGGTGGGGGGCAGGGCCAGAGGGAGAAGCAGACGCCCCACCGAGTGGGGAGCCTGATGCGGGACTCGATCCCAGGACCCTGGGATCACCACCTGACATGAAGGCAGACGCCCCTAGTTTTTTGCCATTTTATTCAGAGAGCTCTCTTTACCTTCATCTGTACGCACATAGAACTTTGCCTGAGTTTTCTTCTAGTTTCTCATGATTTTTTTTCAACATTTAATTTTTTTTTTTAAGATTTATTTATTTGACAGAGAGAGAGAGAGAAAGGGAGCACAAACAGGAGGAGTCAGAGAGGGAGAAGCAGACTCCCTGCTGAGCAAGGAGCCTGATGTGGGGCTAGATCCCAGACCCTGGGATCATGACCTGAGCCGAAGGCAGACGCTTAACCAACTGAGCCACCCAGGCGCCCCTCAACATTTAATTTTTTTAATCAGGATGGAATTTAGTGTATGGTGGGGGTAGGAATGCAACACGATTTTTTTCTAAATAGATTGTTGCCTTAGCACTATTTTTTTTTTTAAAGATTTTTATTTATTTGTCAGAGCACATGCGCAAGCAGGGGGAGCGTCAGACAGAGGGAGAAGCAGGCTTCCCACTGAGCAGGGAACCTGATGTCGGACTCGATCCCAGGACCCTTGGGACCATAACCTGAGCCAAAGGCAGACGCTTAACTGACTGAGCCACCCAGGCGTCCTGACTTAGCACTATTTTTTATATAACCTACCTTTGGTTATAATGGCTTAGCCTAGAAATGAGAGATATGGAGCAACGTAAACATGTATGTATGCTGCTGTGGGTTTCCCCCTGAAGTGGCATGTGTCCGTATATTTATCTGATGGTGACTTGGTGGGGGCGGCATGGAAACTGCTATGATTGAAGAGTCCCTGGGGGTGGCATGAGGTATAAGCTTGGGAAATGGAAGTTTTGGAGAGCCCTCTGCCTATAATACAATATTTGAAGTGTTACCGTGTGGATGACATAGTAAATATATTTTGTGTTTATTTTAGAGGGAAGAAGTTGGCTCAATGGGTAGAAGTTTAAGGAGGGAGAGTCAGCTCAGCAAAAAGAATAACTTTCTAAGTATCAGAGCAGTCTAACAAGGAATCGAGTGTCTTGCAAAGTAGTGAGGCCTGTGGTAGAGGAGGCATGTTTGCAAGTGTTGAGCAGCCACTTCTCAGGGGTGTTCCTGATTGCGCTGCTCCCAGGTGGGAGACGGCGCTGACTGCTGAGTGGGTCTCGTGTCTGTCCGCCATGGAGCTCAGTGACTCACCTGCATTCTTCCTCCTGTGCTTGTAACCACCTGGAGGGGGAGGCCTGCTAACCACTGAGGCCCAAGGAGGTCTGGGGACGCAGCCTGTGCTGTGGTGATGGAGCCAGGCTCTGCCCTTGCTTGCTCTGGATTCCCATGCTTTCCATAGCACCTGCCATCTCAGGTCTTCAGAGAGCTGAATGCCTCCCAAGACCATTTGGATTCTTACTGATTTTCTGTTAAGAGTAAGTTAAAAAAAATCTGCCTTAATGGCTCCTTTTCCCCCCTTTTTTTGTGCACATCCAGATAACATTTGTATTCGTTACTCTTGTCTATGGTTAAAGCCTCTACAAGAGTGTGTGAGCATGCAGTGTACTGTTAACAGTTTCATTCTATATCCCTTGAGGGATTAAATTTGGATTTCTTTTTTTTTTTTTTTTTAGATTTTATTTATTCGACAGAGAGACAGAGAGAGAGGGAACATAAGCAGGGGTAGTGGGAGAGGGAGGAGCAGTCTTCCTGCGGAGCAGGGAGCCCGATGTGGGGCTCGATCCCAGGACTCTGGGATCGTGACCTGAGCCAAAGGCAGAGGCTTAACGACTGAGCCACCCAGGCGCCCCCCCCTTTTTTTTTAAGTTTGTTTATTTTTAGTAATCTCTACACCCAATGGACCCTGAGATCAAGAGTCACGTGCTCCACCAACTGAGTCAGCTAGGTGCCCCAAATTTGGATTTAAATGTGTTAACTGAGGCATCCCCTGCATTCAAGTGGTTAAATCTTTCCCACTGTGTTTTGATTTTTTTCCTATGTGTAAATCCTACCTGTTACGATTTTGCTACTCCTTTTTTTTTTTTTTTAAGATTTATTTATTTTTATAGATTGAGTGTGTGCGAGCAGAGAGAGGGGGGAGGAGAGAGAGAGAGTCTGAAACAGACTCAGCATGAAGTGCGGAGCCCGACGCGGGGCTCGATCTCATGACCCTGAGATCACAACCCAAGCCAAAACCAAGAGTCAGTGCTTAACTGACTGTGCCACCCAGGCACCCCTTGCTACTCCTGTTTAAACCCTCTGCCCCAGCTGGTGCAGCCACTCTGGAAAACAGTATGTGGGTTCCTCAAAAAGTTGAAAATAGAGCTACCCTACAACCCAGCAATTGTACTACTTGGTATTTACCCCGAAGATACAAATGTAGTGATCCAAAGGGGCACCCGCACCCCAATGTTTATAGCAGCAATGTCCACAATAGCCAAACTGTGGAAAGAGCCCAGATGTCCATGAATGAATGGATAAAGGTGTGTGTGTGTGTGTGTGTGTGTGTGTGTGTGTGTGTGTGTGGCGCGCGCACGCAGTGATATGGATGGAACTAGCGTGTATTATGCTGAGCGAAGTAAATCAATCAGAGAAAGACAATTGTCATGTGATCTCACTCGTATGTGGAATTTAAGAAACAAAACAGGATCATAGGGGAAGGGAGGGAAAAATAAAACAAGATGAAATCAGAGAGGGAGACAAACTATAAGAGACTTAATCATGGGAAACAAACTGAGGATTGCTGGAGGGGAGTGGACTGGGGCAAAAAAAATAAAGTTTTTCCTGTGCAGGGGAAAAAAAAACAAACCTTCTGCCCCTTCCCTTTCTTTTCTCTTTTACATAAACAGAACTGCCCTCTCTTCCCTTCTTTGCAGAGGTATGACACGGACCATCTTTATAATTGGATGGGATTTACTGTTTTTTTAATAGAGTTTTAAATTTTAATTCCAGTATAGTTAGCATCCGCTGTTCTATTTCACGTGTACAATACAGTGATTCAACACTTCAGGTTGCTCATCACAAGTGCGCTCCTAAGCATGTGTTCGGTGCTTCGACACTGCTTCCCTTCGTGGGCATCTGTCGATCCAGGCCTGCACCGCGTGGTCGGCCAGGGCTCGGGCACTGTCCTGGGGATGTGATGTAGCGGGGTGTGCAAGAGGGAGGCCTTGCCTTTTCCATCGAGCTTACATTCAGGGGGATATAAGCGATGGCATGTGACAGCGCACCGGATTTCAGGGAGTGCTGAGTGCTCTGAAGGAAATCACACTGACGTGTAATCTGACTTCAGTCCCTGTCAGTCTCTTGAGGCTTCCTTAATGCTCACTGTGGCCTTTTTTTTAAACTTAATGATGGGATTTAAAAACATACACAAACCTAGAAAGGTTATACAAAGACCTGTTGCTTAGTTTCAGTGGTCATGAGTTTGCTGACACTGTTTTATGTGCCCCTTTCCTTTTTCTTCTTCATTATAGTATTTTAAAGCCAGTTCCAGACACTGTATGATTTCCTGAAATTTTCCGGCCTCTCAGCTGGTCTGACCCTGTAGGCGTGCCTGCCCCTGTCCTTGCGTCCTGACGGTGCTGATGGCCCTGCTCATGTCACTCTCTTTACCGTGTTTCAGACGGACCTAGTCCTTCTCCTCCTGCTCCTCTGATTGTGCCCATGCTCCTTTGCTGGCTTTCCTCCTCCTTCCAGCTGTGACCACTCCTCAAGGCTTTGTCTGGTAAATATGTTACCAAGGATTTACTGTCCCTTCTGCATTTCATTAAGGGGGAAAAAGCTTGCAAACATTCAGAGAACTCTTGTTCACTGAGGTTTTGTGCTGTAGAAATGCCATTTGAATGTTTTGCTGCTTTTAATCTTTGGCATTAATTTCAACTGCTGTCATTTCTTCCATTAAAAAGAATTCATGCATAAGCCAGAAAAGTAATTAAATTGGTCTGCAGAGGGAAGAGAGAAACAGTATAGTATTTCAACAAGTCACAGATACACACATTTATTATTCACCTATAAAAATGTTAATTTAAAAGTCTTCACACAGTGTATTTTATTAGAGGTGTAATGTAAATTACATCTGTGATGAGATGCCTAATTTTTTTCCTTTTTCCATTCTAGAATGTATGACAACATGTCCACGATGGTGTATATAAAGGAAGACAAGTTGGAGAAGCTGACACAGGATGAAATCATTTCTAAGACAAAGCAAGTGATTCAGGGGTTGGAAGCTCTGAAGAATGAGCACAATTCCATTTTACAAAGTTTACTTGAGACACTGAAGTGTTTGAAGAAAGATGATGAAAGTAATCTGGTGGAAGAGAAATCAAACATGATCCGGAAGTCACTGGAAATGTTGGAGCTTGGCCTGAGTGAGGCACAGGTATAAGTGAAGTTGCCTCTGACAAGAATAGGAACTTGACAGTCTGGAGAAATGGAGACTTCGTTTGAAATATGTGGTTTAACGAAACTAGAGGGATGATACTTCTAGAATAACAGAGATCAGCTTGTATGTTATATAAATGATGATTGATTTGGGCATGTCTAAATTTTAAAAAGCAGAGCCAAAAGCAGAGGTAACCTCGTCATTTTGGATTTGATTTGGCTGCATGTATCCAAAAACAAAAACAGTGGCTTAAACATCATAGTAGACATGTATAAAGAAATACCGAGGGCGCCTGGGTGGCTCAGTTGGTTAGGCGACTGCCTTCGGCTCAGGTCATGATCCTGGAGTCCCGGGATCGAGTCCCGCATCGGGCTCCCTGCTCAGTGAGGAGTCTGCTTTTCCCTCTGGCCCTCCCCCCTCTCATGTGCTCTCTCTCTCTCTCTCTCTCTCTCTTTCTTTCTCTCTCTCTCTCTCATTCTCTCTCAAAATAAATAAATCTTTGAAAAAAAAAAATACTGAGGTAGGCTTCCCCCAGATTGTGTAGCTGCATGATCATCAGGGACACGCAGACCTCTGCATTACACTGCACACAGCCTTTTTTGTGGACTAAGACGGAGCCCCAGCTGCAGCCACCTGACCCCATTCTAGGACAGGGAAGGGACAGGAAGGGTGTTGCCTCCTCCTTTTACTTCCTCCAACTGTGCACAACACTGCTTACATTTCATTGGCCAGACCTTGGTTCCATGGCCACTCCTAGTTGTGAGGGAGACCGGGGAATGTTGCCCTGCCCACTTCAAGTTCCACTTCTTAAGCCTAAGGAAGAAGGGAGAATGGATACTGGCCAACAGATAATAGTCTCTGCAATACTCTAAGACAAGATTGCTATATATATTTGACTAAACCTTTGTTTTTATCATGTGGGACATAGAGGTGAAAAAATTAGAAACATCTAGGTGGGGGGCACAGTCAGTTGAGCGTACAACTCTTGGTTTCAGCTCAGGTCGTGATGTCAGAGTAGTGAGATCGAGCCCCACTTAGTTGGGGGGAGTGTGCTTGAGATTCTCCCTTTCCCTCCGCCCCTTCCCCCTAAAATCAATCAATCAATCAAAAGAAAAAGAAAAGAAACCTCTTGTGGTAGCCCTACCCCTGATAACGTTTGGTTTTGCCAGCATACTTCAGGTAAAATCACATACACTGAAATTTGACGACTTTCTTCTTAGCTTTCCTCGTTTTTTTTTTTTTTTTAAATATTTGAGAGCGTATACATGAATGGGAGGGGCAGAGGGAGAGGGAGAGAGAATCTCAAGCGGACTCTGTGCGGGGCTCGATCCCAGGACCCTGAGATCATGACCTGAGCTGAAACCAAGAGTTGGACACTTGACTGATTGCGGCCCCCAGGCGCCCCTTAGCTTTCCTCTTGTAAGTGAATGAAGAAAGCAGAGTAGGGCTGCTGGGTCACTAGTTCCCACTTCCATGTAGAGGACACTGTCCTCCACAGTGACTGTCCATACCCTGATTTTAGAGTTCTTCATCCTGACTGTGTGAAAGACCTAATTGTAGAACTTTAACTTTGGTTATTGTGAATGTATTGTATGGCACATTCGGTTATTGAAAAGTGATAAGAATGTGGACTTCCTTTTTAGTTGGGCAGATATTAGGGTTAAGAAAAGAACGAGGAAAGAACCTCACCTTCTGGAGTTTAGGTTTGAAACAGGATAGTAGAGAGCAGGGCAGTTGCATGGTCTAAGGAGAGAACAGACTAGAGCCAGCTTTGCCCAGCTTTTTCTACTCGTACACTCCTAGGAGCTTGCTAATGCCTCACACAGGTCTGGTGCACCCCAGGCAGAGCCCTGGGACAGTCACCAGAGTTTGTGACGTGGACCTAAGCTTATGAATGCATCAGTGCATTCTGACTAGCTGGCTAGCTAAAGATTTCTTTCTTTCTTTCATTCTTTTTTTTTTTTTTTTTAAAGATTTTATTTATTTATTTGACAGAGAGACAGAGCGAGAGAGGGGACACAAGCAGGGGGAGTGGCAGACAGAGGGAGAAGCAGGCTCTCCGCTGAGCAGGGAGCCTGATGTGGGCCTCGATCCCAGGACCCTGGGATCATGACCTGAGCTGAAGGCAGATGCTTAACGACTGAGCCACCCAGGCGCCCTAGCTAAAGATTTCTTCCCTTACCTTGGAACATCAAAGATTTGTCTGCCTGCCCTTCCCTGACTCCATCACCAGCCCCTCCCGGAGTGACCTGCCCTCGGTACACATTGCATGCTTGTGCACACACACACACGGAAAAGGGTCTCCAGTTATGTTGGAGCCACCTAGATAGAAAGTAAAAACATACAGTTTTGTCAGAAGAGTAGCCGTGTGTCCATTACTAGTCCATCTGAGATGCTGTCAAACAGAAGAACGACATCTAGTTTCTGTAGATGTTGTGAGCATGTGATAGATATTCTGTACACTGTGTAGCCTGAGACTGGGGGTGAAGAGGGAAGTCATTGGCATTTGTACGTGTCTGTGTTGGAGCACGTATCTGCAAGCCCAGAATGCCTGCATCGGTGGGAGCAGAGACGTGTGGGATGGATGGTGCAGTGCTGTCAGCGTTTCTGTCTTTCCAGGTCATGATGGCTTTGTCCAATCACCTGAACGCTGTTGAGTCCGAGAAGCAGAAACTGCGTGCACAGGTTCGTCGGCTTTGCCAGGAGAACCAGTGGCTTCGGGACGAACTTGCCAATACGCAACAGAAATTACAGAAGAGTGAGCAGTCTGTGGCTCAACTGGAGGAGGAAAAGAAGCATCTGGAGTTCATGAATCAGTTAAAAAAATACGATGATGACATCTCTCCATCCGTAAGTGGCTCAGTAGGAGCGCGGCACTGACGTTAACCGTGTTACAGTTGGTGGGTTGTCTCCGTCAAGCCGTCCGTGTTTGCCCCTCCCCTCTAGTGATTGCGCTGAGCAAGGCCAGAGGCTGTGGGTCTTGGGACTGGGCAAGTCTAGAGGCTCTCCTTGCCGTATGCTTTTCATAGGTGTGTTTTATTTTTATTATTTTTTTAAGGGATATATATTTTTTTAATTTTTTAAAGATTTTATTTATTTATTTGACAGAGAGAGAGACAGCGAGAGAGGGAACACAAGCAGGGGGAGTGGGAGAGGGAGAAGCAGGCTTCCCACCGAGCAGGGAGCCCGATGTGGGGCTCAATCCCAGGACCCTGGGACCATGACCTGAGCCGAAGGCAGACGCTTCACGGCTGAGCCACCCAGGCGCCCCTTATAGGTGTGTTTTAGAACAGTGGTCAGACAATGTACAAATACCTTGTGAATGTAAGGCACGATGCAAAGAAGCACTTGATGAGGTCTGTCCCAGCTTGAGAACCCATTGAGTCTGGCTTCCAAGCTCATCACGCTACTGGAACTGTTCCCTCAGATCAGTGTGCATCTCATCCAGTTGTCTATAATCCAGACCTGGGACTAACCCTGTAGCCAGTGGTGCTGTGGGTCTTGACCTTTCTCTTGAAACTCTCCCTCCCCTGCTGCCGGTTGGCCACCTGGTTCTCCTGCCCTCTCTCTCATGCCACCTCCTTGGTCTCTCTTGCCAACTTACCTTGTTTTTGGAATGTTCCTCAAGGATCTTGGTTTTCTCCTTTTTCTGTTGACTCTCTTAGGATGTTCATCTCAGTCTTAATTATTTTTCATCCACCATTTATATCTGATTGTTAACTGAAAAACAATTTTTTAAAAACAAATTTTGGAGTAATTTTAGATTCACAGAAAAGTTGAAAAGATAGTAAAGAGAATTCTCATGTGTCCTTCCACTCGGTCTCTCCTCATGTTACATCTCCCATTGCCAGAGTGTGTGTCTTCATCAGCTCAGGCCATTGCGACGGAATACCATAATGTGTGGCTTATTTCCCACAGCTCTGAGATCAGGGTGTCGGCACGTTGGGTTCTTGGTGAGGGCCTTTTTCCTGGTTGTGTCCTCACTCAGCCTTCCCTGGTGCATGCAGAGAGAGAGGAAGGTATCTAGTGTCTTTTCCTTTTCATGTAAGGACACTAATCCTGTTGTGACAGCCCCATCCATGTGACTCAGTCTGACCCACATTACCTCCTAAAAGCCCACCTCCAAATGCCATCACCAGGGCTAGGGCTTCCATATATGGTTTTGGGGGACACATTAGTCCACAGCACCCTGTCTTATTAGACTTACTGTATTTCTCCCTTGCTTTTGATTTAGAAGACATATTGTTATGGGCTGCTGTGGGAATAAGAATAAATGAAGCTACGGATGCCAGCCAGTGATTCATCTAGAATACCAGATGATCTTGTAGGGTTTCGTTGAATCAGAAACGTTTAAAACTTGTTATTTTGAAAAAATACCTAGCTTGGAGAAGAGAGCTAACAGTGAGCTAACTCTGCCTCTCCTTTCGGGGTGTACATGAGTGATGGTTTTTCTGAACGGCGTTGCAGTAGGCGGCATACCTCATGCCACACTCCCCTGCTGCTGCTGGGCATGTTCCCCTAGCATGAGGACATTCTCCTGTGGAAGCAGGGCCAGCTCCAGTCCGGAAATTTCACATGGGCACGGTACTCATCTATCTGCTCTGCACCGTGTCTTCTTGGTCTCAGCAGAGCCCTTCATGGCATCCTTTCACCGTGCCACTATCTGGTTCATGACCACGTGTGACACTCAGCTGTCACATCTTCTTGGCCGTCTTTCATCTGAAACAGGTCCTTTTCAAAGAGAGAAAAAAGTCTTTCTCTGCCTTTCATGACATAGGTATTTTTGAAAAGTGCAGGAGCCAGTTACTTCATAGATTGTTTCTCAGTCTGGGTTTGTCTCATGTCTCTCTCTGAGTGTGTTTAGATCATGCATCCCAGACAGGAATATTATCAAGGTGACATTGTGTACTTCTCAGATGACCCGTTCCACGGGCAAGGGATGTTTTCTGCCCCAGGGTGATGCTGATTTCTCACTTGGTCTAACTGTTGTCTGTTCTCGCCATTGTGTAGTCACGGTTTTTACCCCTGCACTAATCAGAGATCTGTGGGGAGACTCGAGTCACAGAGTTAAAGCCAGAAGGTTTCAGGGATGCCTGGGTGGCTCAGGCGGTTGGGCGTCTGACTCTTGATTTTTGGATCAGGGGATCTCAGGGTTGTGGGATCCAGCCCCGCATCGGGCTCTGCACTGGTCGTGGAGCTTACTTGGGATTCTGTCTTTCTCTTTCAATAAATAAATAAACACACACATAAATAAGTAAAATCTTAAAAAAAAAGCTGGCAGGTTTTAGATTGCTCTTAGGTGTCCTTTGGTGGAGGTGGTGAGCAGGGAAGGGGGACTCTAGCCCTCCAGTTCTGTGGCATTCAGTGTGGGCTATTGTAGTCTGTTTTTACGTATTTGGTTTTCAAATAAAATTTATTTCAAGTAAGAGTTTCCTGCTCTATTTGAACTTCCTCAGAAGGTAGTGAAGAATCTAAGGCATAGAAATGCCACATGGTCTGTTGGCCTGCATTTTGAGTTTGAATTCTAGTCTAGCAGGCTTTCTGTTACTCTCTGCTCAATCGATGGATAAGCCAAATTGTGGTTAACCCTATATTTGATTATTTTATTTTTAAAGACTTTAAATATTTATTGTGAGAGAGAGAGAGCGAGAGCATGAGCAGGGGGAGGGGCAGAGGGAGAAGCAAACCCCCCTGCTGAACAGGGAGCCCAATGTGGGATTCAGTCCCAGAACTCCAGGATCATGACCTGAGCCGAAGGCAGACGTTCACCCGACTGAGCCACCCAGGTGCCCCTTTTATTTTATTTTATTTTATTTTATTTTAAAGATTTTATTTATTTATTTGACAGATGGGGAGGGAGCCTCAGGGAGAGGGAGAGGGAGAAGCAGGCTTCCCGCTGAGCAGGGAGCCTGACACGGGACCTGATCCCAGGACTCTCGGATCATGACCTGAGCCGAAGGCAGACGCTTAACTGACTGAGCCACCCAGGCCTCCCTTACATTTGATTTTATTTATTTATTTATTTATTTATTTTATTTTTTAAAAGATTTTATTTATTTATTTGACAGAGAGACAGAGCGAGAGAGGGGACACAAGCAGGGGGAGTGGCAGACAGAGGGAGAAGCAGGCTCTCCGCTGAGCAGGGAGCCTGATGTGGGCCTCGATCCCAGGACCCTGGGATCATGACCTGAGCTGAAGGCAGATGCTTAACGACTGAGCCACCCAGGCGCCCTAGCTAAAGATTTCTTCCCTTACCTTGGAACATCAAAGATTTGTCTGCCTGCCCTTCCCTGACTCCATCACCAGCCCCTCCCGGAGTGACCTGCCCTCGGTACACATTGCATGCTTGTGCACACACACACACGGAAAAGGGTCTCCAGTTATGTTGGAGCCACCTAGATAGAAAGTAAAAACATACAGTTTTGTCAGAAGAGTAGCCGTGTGTCCATTACTAGTCCATCTGAGATGCTGTCAAACAGAAGAACGACATCTAGTTTCTGTAGATGTTGTGAGCATGTGATAGATATTCTGTACACTGTGTAGCCTGAGACTGGGGGTGAAGAGGGAAGTCATTGGCATTTGTACGTGTCTGTGTTGGAGCACGTATCTGCAAGCCCAGAATGCCTGCATCGGTGGGAGCAGAGACGTGTGGGATGGATGGTGCAGTGCTGTCAGCGTTTCTGTCTTTCCAGGTCATGATGGCTTTGTCCAATCACCTGAACGCTGTTGAGTCCGAGAAGCAGAAACTGCGTGCACAGGTTCGTCGGCTTTGCCAGGAGAACCAGTGGCTTCGGGACGAACTTGCCAATACGCAACAGAAATTACAGAAGAGTGAGCAGTCTGTGGCTCAACTGGAGGAGGAAAAGAAGCATCTGGAGTTCATGAATCAGTTAAAAAAATACGATGATGACATCTCTCCATCCGTAAGTGGCTCAGTAGGAGCGCGG